ATACAGAAGCCTCTGAGGCGCTGTTGACTACAGTTGGAAAGACTCCGTTGAAGCAAGGGGGCGGGCGACAGAACTGAAGTGTGTAGCCGAGCCGAACCGTGCGGAGGATCCAAGGCGATACCCCTGGCAGACGCCTCCATTCTTGAAAGAAATGAGAGAGAGGAAGAGGAGTGTTGCAATGTGGCGGACATACCTGTTAGGGTGACGCGCTGACTCCTGTGGGGTGGCGTGGTCCAACGTGAAGGAGGGCACTTGACGTCCTGACACGTAGCGGGAGGTACCACTGCCTGTTTGATCAAGATCATAGGGTCTGCCTGCTCCTGAGGAAAACCGAAAGTGTCTCAGAGGATGCGAGCAGCAGGTATCAAACGCGTCGGAGGCAAGGGGTGAAAGCTGAACGCGTCTCCGTCTTCCTGCGCCGGACGGTTTGAACGAGGTCGGGTAGTAACTGCACTTCGAAACACGCCGGGTGGCGAAAGTGACAGGTTTAGAGAAGGAGAGCGAGTTAGAGGTGGGCAGAAACGCTTTCGCGGTCTGTCCCAACCTTGTAAATCGGGGGAAGCTCTCCTCTTTCTGACCTGCGGGTCAGGAACGATTCGAGGAGGCTGGAGCAAAGGGTTTGTTAGACCGCTTCAGCTCAAGACGCTTATGAGGTCGCTGGCGGGGGAACGGGCGACCGCGGGCTCCCCAAACCGTAGCAGGTGGGGGATGAACCGAGTCACTTCTCCTAGCAGCAAAATCCGGCCTATGAGACGAACGTTCTCTGGGTTGAGCCGGGGAGGGGTTAGAGGATTCCCTAGCCCTCCTGGGCATAAACTGCCTGAGGGCAGCTGACTGGGATTTTGCGGCCCGAAACTTGTCAACCACAGTGTTGACCGCCTCCCCAAACAGTCCAGATTGAGAAACTGGGGCGTCCAGATTGAGAAACTGGGGCGCCCAAGAGAAAAACCTTCTCTTTGTCACGGATCTCCGTGAGATTAAGCCATAGGTGGCGCTCTGCAGCAATCGCCCCTGCCATAGAACGACCTATAGCGCGTGCGGTGTGTTTGGTGGCTCTTAAGGCCAGATCCGTGGCCTTACGAAGCTCTTTGACAGCTTCTGGCGTAATTCCTGTTCCCTCGTCCATCTCCTTCAAGACATCCGCCTGGTAGGCTTGGAGGATGGCCATAGTATGTAGGGCCATGCCTGCCTGACCAGCTGCCATGTAGGACTTTCCGATAAGGGCGGAAGTAGTCCTGCACGGTTGAGAGGGACGGAGGGGGCGAGATTTCCACGACGGAGCAGACGACGGAGAAAGGTGAGTAGCCAACGTGTCCTCAACCGCTGGAATGGCGGAATAGCCCCGCTCCACAGAACCAACGAGGTTGGTGAAGTCAGCGGCTGCCGCGTTTGTTAGACGCGCGGAAAAAGGCTGCTTCCAGGATCTGGAGATCTCGTGATGCAGATCACTGAAGCTTTCTCCGCTCAGGCCTAGAATTAGGGCCACTTAAAAATCTCTCGTCGAGTTTAGACGATTGTGACTCGCGGGGCTCGTCGGGCCAGTCGATAGAGAGCTTCTCCGTAGCGCGCGAAAGCACGTCGATAAGCTCCGTGTAGGCCGCGCCTCCTGGCCGCTAGGCGGGAGACCGTCAGTAGCTAAAACAGGCCCGAAATCCTCAGAGTCGGACGCTGTAGTGTAAATAATATCTTCCAGCCCGAAAGAAACCGTCTCGCGCGCTCTCGGGCTGGGGCATTAATAATCATGCGAAAACTCGACTGGCCGAACACCGCGTGCGTGCTCGGGAGAGGGAGGGAAAGTAAGGGCCTGGCCCGTCTGCTCGTACTCTATATCCTCGAGCTCTACATCCGAACCCCAGGTCGCGGATTCCAACGAGGCCTCGGCAGCCTCGGGAGTGCGACGGGGGGGAACGAATGATTTCTTCTCAAAAACCGCGAGCCGAGAGCGGAGGGTTTTGAGAAGCAGGTTGTCACAAAACTTGCATTTAGACAAGCCTAAAACAGCCTCGCGCGCATGCGAAAAACCCATACATTTAACACACTTACTGTGAGGGTCGTCGTTCGCAATAAAGCGAACGCATGGCGGCGGGCAACGACGAAACTCCATGGCACTTCACCGCAAGGAGAACTGAGTTCCACTATTCGCAGTCGCTGAAGTGCAGATGAAGAATGCTGATGATAAATCCGAATTATTTGGGCCAGAAAAACCGAGACCGAAGGGCTAAGATGGCCGCTTCGTGAAGGCAGAGAAATCTGAGGAGCAGATGGCGCGCGCGCACTAATATAATGTGACGACGCAAGAGCGTCGGGGCGGCGCCCGCGCCATCAGCCAATGAATTGGCGTGATTCTATAAGGGCTTCAGACAATCGGCACACCCAGAGGGCGTTCCCACTGCGTCCTAAGCTACGCAGCGTTGAGTGAACCTATGAAAGAGAACGCTTTTAATTACATATGTACAGTACTTTTATACTATTTTAAATAATTAGTAAGCAAAACGTACTAAACGTGAAACTAGGCTACTCTTAATGCAAAATGGCCCTATATAAAGTGTTATAATTATATACATTTTTGGAATATTGCTTGATGTTGTAACGTAGCGTTATCAGGCAGAATGAGCTTTAACACTGTGTCTACACCGGACGCGGCCGTTACTGCTCGCGTCGCAACAGTTTACCCTAGACAAAGCAGAATCAGTTTACTGTCGGAGATCGCTCGCGCCACACATTTTAATCAATGTTTCATCAACCAATTGCCTTAATAAATAAGAAGTAGGCCTAAATATAGCAGACAATATAATCAGGACTTCTCAGCTGCGCGCTTGCAATAGTCACAAAGCTCACATACGTGACAGAGGGTTGTAGCAGAGAAATCAATTCTGTGAATTACACTGCGCAAATCACAAGTAGGCTACTACCCACCGGATGAAGAAGGGTTGGCTCTCAGTCTCCACAGGCTACATAAAATATTCATTTTATTTTATTTTTCGTGTTCGCATTTATGAGGAAAAAACCATGTTACAGACGCGACAGTTCAGCACTACGGACGTGAGAGCTCTGAAAGCGGCACTAAAATGCTTTGAAACTTTCACATAGACATCAAACAGAAAGCACAAAACCTTTCGTTTCAAAGTGAATTTCGTTTTGTATTAATTGTATCTTAATTTTAATCAATGTTTCATCAACCATTTGCCTGGATTTAATTTATAAGAAGTAAATTTAGCAGACGATAGATAATCTCGACACGGAGGCGCCTGCGGGTGAACTGGAGCTCCTCTCATGAACCGAAACTCAGCGTATAGACCTGAGAATTGAAATATATCTATATTGAAATGTCTACTTTTAAACAGAACAATTTAAAACGAAAGACAGACAGACTCATGTAATCGTATGAAATGTGCATTTCTCTCTGGCACGCGTTCACTGAAGATCGCGAGTCAGCATCGTCAACTTCATCTTTGGCTGACACTGACTGAAAACACTCGTTTATTAATAAACAATTAAAATGTCTCCTTGCTATATTTGTTGTATTCATAATCATTACTTTTGCCAGTTCTTGTGACAGCTTTTAGGTGCTTTATTGGCAGCGCCACCCTTACATGAATCACCGCACCCGCATTTTTTTAAATATTCATTTATCGGCCATTATAAATGCCGATACCGATAGTTAGGAAAATGCCTAAAATCGGCCGATAATATCGGCCGGGCTCTAATGTGTAGACCAAACTGACAAGCACAACATGCTGACTAGTCTTTTTGCACTATAATGTTCTCAGACACACTAGTCTATAACGTGATTTGATTAATTGTACAGTCATACTTTTGACTTCATCCAAATTCTGGCATGTTATACAGTAATTTCTATCTTTATGACTGGATACTAGGGATGGTAAGATTCACCGATTCGCATCGGTGCATCGGCATAAAAGCTAACGATGTGATGCATCAATTTAAATAAGTGTGCATCGGATACAAGTTGGCATTTGTATCGCGATGCATCGTTTCTAACATCTGCATCGGTAAAAAACGATATAATTATTAGTAGATGCGCTATACTTCTACTATTTAGAAAGTGACCAATATTTTATTATGTAACTCCTGAGTTCACTTCACACCGAACGCAAATTGAGCGTCTGTAGCGAGTGATTTCCCTGTCAAGTCATTGTAAAGACGCGTTGACGCGGGTCTGGAGGTTCTGCGGCGCGAGACGCGTTTAGCGCGGTGCGATGGACACGATTTCGCCTCATTCGTGCGTCCAGGTCGACTAGATTGATTTCTCCTTTCTGAACTGTTGCTCAATCAAGTTCTCTCATCACGACCATCACGACTGCTGCAGCTGCTATGTGAATATGACGTATCACAACACTACGGAGTGCGAGGTGTGTCCTGAGAGTCACGTACCTTTAAACCTTAAAGTAGGACATTTGAGTTAATCTGGTTTACAGCAGCCTGTGACTGCCAATAATAGTTTTTCATTTTCATTTTTTTTTTTACATTTGAATACAGTTATGAAAGACCTGTTTGTGAAAGTTTTTATTTTTGTAATTGTTTATGTTAAAACAGCACCTGCTTTTATTTGATCTTTGGGTTTTGTGAAAAAAGATGAAAGAACCATGCCTTAAAAGTCAGATGGCACTTAAGCTACTTTATGATTTGCTGTATGTCTGAATAAAAGAAATAAAAGTGAACTATCTATACCATATTGAATTGCATTATATTTTTCTCCATTGCATCATATTACATTGAATCGCATCGCGTTGAATCGAATCGAAATCGGATCGCACCGCATCGTAATAGTAGTGAATCGTATTGCATCGCATCGGTAGCTGCTTATATGTATCTTTAATGTATCGCATCGTTGGCTACGCATCGAGATGCGTATCGCATCGGCCTCAGCTATGGAGATGCACATCCCTACTGGATACCATGATCAACCATGGTACCTCACTATGTCATTAATAGTTTTGTTTAGATTGTGTTTAATAATAGATGCTCTTTCTTCATAGGGAGGGGGCGGAGCGATGAACACGTTGGCCGTGTCTCATACTAGCATGGCTAGCATAGGGTCTGCAGGAAGCTATTCTGGTGCGAATATGCTAGTCAATGGTTTGAGTGCCAACCAGAACCAGGTGAGTCAAAATGCCTCTTTGTGCAAGAGTTACATTTACGTAATGTATTTGTATGTGAGGATGACATGTATTTGAAACAATAACATGAATTAAATAGTTATCTAGAGGTCATGCATTACATATCAGACATTATATTGTCTTTTTCTTCCACATAAGATAATTTGATCATAAAGTTAGATTGTAAATATAACATATTTTTATATACAGCTCTGCTATTCTTTAATTGTCTGTGCCCTTTCTGACTGTTTCATCATGAGTTTAGAGTTGTGTTTTCCTGATGTCGAGTTGTGGTCTTTGTGCAGGTTTTGGGCCTGATCAAGAGTTGTCACGAGCCTCAAGGCATCAGCATGCAGGACCTCAAGCAGAAGCTGAATAGCATGAGCGTCAATGTTATCAGGTACATACTTCTCCTCCTGAGATGTGTGTCTATAAAGAAAGAGCTTTTGTAGTGGACCTTGATCCAAAAGAAAAGATTTCACCTTTCTCTTCCTCTTTTTTTTTTTTTAGTTTCCGTTTCTCTTCTGTTAACCCGAATGAGCAGTGAGAATAACACGTCCTTAAATTTCTCTGAAAGGGCTTCCTCTTTTTTTCATAGGAAGCTTAATTTGTTTTTTCTCATGAACTTGAGCTCCATTTTCATAAGACATGAGACTCAATAGTTTGTTTCCTAGTCTGTTCTTGGATAGAAATGGTATTTCAGGATTTGTCTTTAACAAAGTTTTCATGGTATTTTACAGAGTGATGATTTGTTGAGAGATACATTTCCAGATTTTGCAATGAGAAGAGCAGCACAATTTAAGCTGACACATTAGTTCACCGTTATAAATCAGTCCCGTGAAAGCAATTGTTTAGCGGATAAACCAAAGAGATGTTTTAAATGTCATCATTGTAATCATTGTGATAATGTGGTGCAAGGAAAACCTTTTTTTAGATGTACATACAAATAAGATTTATTCAGTTAAAGACCCCTGTAGTCAATCATTTTATCCCTTAACTCATCTTTGATCATCAAAAAAACATATTAAGGTTGTTTTTGTCATGCATTAAAATAGCTTGAATGTAACTACACCCTTGCCTCATTTAGTATACGTGGTTCTATGAATATGCAAATGAGCCCCGCCTCCACTCACAGCAGCTCTTGCCTCGTTTACACGAAGGGAAGACGCAGATATTTGGCCTCTCATTTACACGAAAACCCCGTTTTTATCACAGAAAACGATTATTTCTAAAAACTCAGTCCAAAAACCGGCCAAAGTGAAGATTTCCGATAACGCCGGTTATGTGTTACCGTGTCAACTGGGAGAAACAGATTTAGGTTCTCAAACGTCACATTATGTGCCAGAAAATGCTTAAGGTCATGTGAACACCCAGTTTGGCATAGTTATGATGGCGCTGGACGGCGTATTTATGTGGATTGATGTAAATGACAACTTTTACATCAATAAAGAGGGGGGGGGGATATTAGTTTCTCTAAATATTAGGAAAATATATTACCGTATATACCCAAATATAAGACAAGGTGTTCGTCCTAAAAATAGGCTGAAAAATGGGGGTTCGTCTTATATTCGCGATATAGACGGGGGGAAAGGGAAAAAGCAGGGAGAAACGGTAGAGGGCGCCAACACGATAGGCTAATTACCTAGTGACAGTGTTATGAATTAAATAAACAATAAAGTGCCGCAATGGAGAGGTCAAGAGAGATCATCTTGAGAAAAGCGCTTCAAAAGTTGGTCATATAAACCAACACGTTCCAAACAGTTATGACGCCAACTTTAAACTTATGGTCGTGAATGAGGCGAATCATCTAATAATTGCAAAGCTGGAGTCACAGAATGCAACGTTCGAAGGTGGCGAGCACAAAAAGAACGTCTAAAAAATACCAACAGCCAAAGGAAAGCTTTCCGTGGACCTCAAAGTGGCAAGTTTGCAGAACTTGATGATAGAATCTATGAATATGTGATAGAAAAACGTCGGGATGCGATGCCAATCACAAGAGAAATCATTCGGCTGAGGGCTCTGGAGATAGCCAAGGAGCTGAACATACCCACAAATGAATTCAAAGCTAGCACTGGGTGGTGTACACGAATGATGCGGCAAAGGGCTGACACTGCGTCGTAGAACGAGTCTGGCCCAGCGCCTGCCCGCCTCGAGGAGAAGCTGCTGTCTTTTCAGCGATATGTGCTTAAACTGAGGAAAACTCACTCATACAGCCAATCACAGCAGTGGGCGTTTACACTGAAGTCTCACAGCCAATCACAGCAGTGGGCGTTTACACTGAAGTCTCACAGCCAATCACAGCAGTGGGCGTTTACACTGAAGTCTCACAGCCAATCACAGCAGTGGGCGTTTACACTGAAGTCTCACAGCCAATCACAGCAGTGGGCGTTTACACTGAAGTCTCACAGCCAATCACAGCAGTGGGCGTTTACACTGAAGTCTCACAGCCAATCACAGCAGTGGGCGTTTACACTGAAGTCTCACAGCCAATCACAGCAGTGGGCGTTTACACTGAAGTCTCACAGCCAATCACAGCAGTGGGCGTTTACACTGAAGTCCCACAGCCAATCACAGCAGTGGGCGTTTACACTGAAGTCCCACAGCCAATCACAGCAGTGGGCGTTTACACTGAAGTCCCACAGCCAATCACAGCAGTGGGCGTTTACACTGAAGTCCCACAGCCAATCACAGCAGTGGGCGTTTACACTGAAGTCCCACAGCCAATCACAGCAGTGGGCGTTTACACTGAAGTCTCACAGCCAATCACAGCAGTGGGCGTTTACACTGAAGTCCCACAGCCAATCACAGCAGTGGGCGTTTACACTGAAGTCTCACAGCCAATCACAGCAGTGGGCGTTTACACTGAAGTCTCACAGCCAATCACAGCAGTGGGCGTTTACACTGAAGTCCCACAGCCAATCACAGCAGTGGGCGTTTACACTGAAGTCCCACAGCCAATCACAGCAGTGGGCGTTTACACTGAAGTCCCACAGCCAATCACAGCAGTGGGCGTTTACACTGAAGTCCCACAGCCAATCACAGCAGTGGGCGTTTACACTGAAGTCTCACAGCCAATCACAGCAGTGGGCGTTTACACTGAAGTCTCACAGCCAATCACAGCAGTGGGCGTTTACACTGAAGTCTCACAGCCAATCACAGCAGTGGGCGTTTACACTGAAGTCTCACAGCCAATCACAGCAGTGGGCGTTTACACTGAAGTCTCACAGCCAATCACAGCAGTGGGCGTTTACACTGAAGTCTCACAGCCAATCACAGCAGTGGGCGTTTACACTGAAGTCTCACAGCCAATCACAGCAGTGGGCGTTTACACTGAAGTCTCACAGCCAATCACAGCAGTGGGCGTTTACACTGAAGTCTCACAGCCAATCACAGCAGTGGGCGTTTACACTGAAGTCTCACAGCCAATCACAGCAGTGGGCGTTTACACTGAAGTCTCACAGCCAATCACAGCAGTGGGCGTTTACACTGAAGTCTCACAGCCAATCACAGCAGTGGGCGTTTACACTGAAGTCCCACAGCCAATCACAGCAGTGGGCGTTTACACTGAAGTCTCACAGCCAATCACAGCAGTGGGCGTTTACACTGAAGTCTTGGTTACATTTATTAAAGTAAGATTTCAAATAGATTCTCATCTCTATGTGCTAAAGCTGAGAAGTTAATGTTCTTTTACACGTCTTGTGGTATATCCGTGCCAGAAAAACGCATGTGTGTTTAAAGATTTGTGTGTAAATGTAATGTGGCAAAAACGGAAATAAAACCGTGAAGTGACATTTTCTTGTGCTGAGCTGTTAACCTTGATAACAATCTGTATGTGAAAAATCACATGAATTTTATCAACCGTTAATAAGTAGTTTCATAAAGTAAGTGTCTGTAGCAATTTAGACATACTACATTTGCCATATTGCCTGCATCATTGTTTCCTGCAGTTTACTAATATGAGAAGTCCTCATCCTTGGCCTCATAGACACACTTAAGAATTTGGGCAGATCAGTAGGTCATCCGGGTATTGGTTTTACGTACTGCTTGGGTTTCCAAAAGTACCAGTACTCCGGTACCAAGTTGATACTTAAATTTTCTGCAGTTCCAGTAGTAGCGAGCTTTTATATCATTTAAAGCTGCAGTCCGTAGCTTTTTTGGGTTAAAAATGATCCAAATGAAAATTGAGCAAATACATAACCAGCCAGTGTTCAAAACTCTCTGCTTGCCTTCGCTCGATTCAAAACGGCAAGCTTGTAATAATGTTTTTAATTCCAGTGGTACTGGTGGATTTCCATGGGAGATTCGAGCATGTCTTTGCGTCATTACGTCACATCTGCACACACACATCTGTACACACACATCTGTACACATAAAGAAGAGTCTCGGCTAGTATAAGCCATATTGAGTGGGATGTTGGAGGTGGAGATTTATAGCCTTTTCTCACAGCACTTGATATAATTAAACTTATTAATTTGATGGTGGATCCGGAAAGGTTCAAACGACAATCACCAGCGACAACTAGAGACTCACCCGCTGTAAAATGCAAAAGACTTCGGAGTGGCTACAGAAAAAAGAGACTGCAACCGGCCCATGCGAAAACAAGGATAAATATATGAAGGACATTAAATGTAGTCACGCAATGCTGACGTTGAACATTAACAATTTGAGAAAAAAGTATAATTTGCACGGTTTGACGTGATATGATAAGCGATCGTTAGATTTAATCAGCGCGATTTACTGCAATGCTTTTTTCCCCTTAGTTGGTCAGAACAAAAGTGGATGTTACTTACTTGTTCAGACATTTTCCTGTGAAAATTATTATGTTGGTCATACTTCCAAAAAGTATAATCTGTGATTGTGAATGCCAGTATCCACACCGGCGGCGACTGACAGACACACACTCTCCTCAAACATTGTGTTCATCCGCGCTGTGCCGTGTCGAGGCACAACTCACGTAAAGTTGATAATTCTGTGAATGACTGCAATTGCAGATTTCAAACAGAGATGGCGACAAAGAGGGAAAACTGCAGACTGCAGCTTTAAACAAATCGTTGAATATCTAATAATGATTTCATTTCACCAACCTTGCAGACGTAGTTGAATCCAGCTATGAGATCTTCTGAAGTGTGCATTTGTAGCCTGCATGAACGTGTGTATTCTGTGCCTGACGCCGTGAGAATTGAATGCAAACAGGAGAAGAGTTTGCGCACAATTGACAAACTTTAAACCCTTGAACTATGCTGTGCTATATTAAGGCTGGGTGATATGGCCAAAAATGATCATGATAACATTTTCCATTTATCAGTCGATATCAATAATTATCACAATAAATGTCAAATCTTTATTTCTTTCAAATTTAAAGGCAGATTTTTGCTCCTGAGTGAAAGTTGTACAAACCAG